CACCAAATAAATTTATTTTTAAATTCTGTTTTCCATGAACTTTTTATGTGCCTTTTGTATGTCCATACATATCCTCGCTTGTATGCAAATTGTTGCTTATTATAGCCACTGTTGTACAATTTCCTTGATTTCTTCATATCTCTGAAGTTATTCTGAATCAGTTAATTCATGAAAAGTTCCTTCATTCTTTTTATGGTTGCTTTGTTTTCCCTTGTGAGACTGGACTATAATTCATTTTTTAAGTTTTATTGTAGTGCTTATTTACTTATTTTCACCTACTTAAAATGCAGAGCAACAGAGTTAGAGATCTTCTATCTGATGGTTGGCTCCCTGCATGTCTGTATTGGCCAGGACTGGGCCAGGTTGAAACCAGGAGCCTAGAATTCCATCTGGGTCTCCCACATGGGTGGCAGGGGCCAAAGTACTTGAGCCATCATATGCTGCCTCCCAAGATGCATTAGCAGGAAGCTGGATTGGAAGCAGAGGTGTCAGGACTCAAACCAGCACTCTGATATGGAATGTGGGGGCCCCAAATGGCAGTTTAGCCCATTGTACCATCACACCTGCCAAGACCATAATTTAATCAATCAATCCCTTTTTGGTGAGCATTTACTTGTTTTCAGTCTTTTACACGCACGTAATGCTGCAGTGAGCAACTTGGTGCATGTGTCATTTTTGCATAAGTTAAGAGTAGATCTGAAAGACACATTCCCAGAAGTGGGAGTCTGAGTCACAGGGCATGTCCATTTGTGCACTTAATATATTGCCAAATTGCCCTTCATAAAGGTGGTTTAAATTTATACTACACCAGCAAAGTAGTGTATCCTGGAGGAGCTTGTTCTATAATGGATAAAACCAGCTGGATCAAAGAAAGTAGTGTTTAGATTTCCACAGCAGTTCAGTCATTACATTGTACCTTTGTCAATAAGGTGGATTTACACAATGGTCTCACTTAGTTATTTTGTTTATCTCTTACCAGGAGTGAGGTTGAGCATCTTTTCATATCTCTGAGAGCAGTTGGATTTCCTGTTCTTTAAACAGTCTCTTCTCCTCTGCCTGTATTTATGTTTTCCACATACACCTGTTGTTCCTCCTGTTAATTGACATTGGAGGAAATGCCTTTGTGCATTAGAATTTATAGTGTTGCAAATACTTTTTTCTGAGTTTATCACTTTTCCTTTGGTTTCCTTACTGATTTCTTTACCATGCAAATGTATTGAGCTTTTCCCTTGTGACTTTTAGATTTTGCGTCTAAACTTGAGCAAGTTTTCTCCCCCATTGAACTCATTGGCATTTTGTTTGTTTGTTTGCTTTTTAATTCTCCCTCCCATTCTCCTAGTAATTTCTCTTTTTTAAACCTTTAACTCTTTGAGTCATCCAGGATATGTTTTGGTGTAAAGTGTGGGTTCTGGACTGATCCTTCTGTTTCCACACAGTATGTATTAATTTTAGCCTTGCTTTCAATTTGTGCCTTCCATATTGTGTGCCTTATTAAAGTCGCTTGTAACCAGGCTTTGCCTCTAGCATGAGTCAGACTGATTGAGCCTGTCTTGAAGTGACATCATCTTTTCATGAGGCAGCTTGGCACTGGGGAAGGCTCCTCATTATCAGGGTCTAGCTGACCTGATTTTGAATGCCATCTGCAGCCTCTTTACCTGCAACCTCTTAACCCATGCAGCCTGGGGCAAGTTACTGAACCTTTATACATCTTTGTAACCCCACATGGCAGATAATACCCTATAGGGTACATTTTTTTGTGACAGAGATAATGTTAACTGCCTGTTGGGTACCTGGCACATGGTGGATACTTGATAAGCAGGAGCTATTATTATTGTCCCCGTCATTACCAGTATCAGAAGGGTGATGTTGGTCTCCCCTGAGGACGGTGTGTTCCCCCACATGCAGCCATTCTTCTGTTTCTGGTGTTCCTGGAAACCGAATGTGGGACTTCCCTGCCTGAGCCAAACTCCATTGAAGGGACCTGGCCAGGATCAGGCTGGCATTTTTAGGGCCATGTTCATAACCTCTGGGCAAACATTCAGTTCTTAGGTGTCTATTGAAATAGAATTGCCCTTGGCTGGAAGTCTGCCTGATTCTGTAGGGTTTTTTTTTTTTTTTTTTTTAAAGATTTTGTTTCTTTGAAAGGCTGAATTACAGAGAAAGGGAGAGACACAGAAAGAAGGGGCAAATGATCTTTTTTTTTGGTAAGATTTATTTTTTTTAAAGATTTATTTATTTATTTGAAGTCAGAATTACACAGAGAGAGGAGAGGGAGTGAGAGAGAGAGAGAGCGCTTCCATCCAATGGTTCACTTCTCAATTGGCTGCAGTGGCTGGAGCTGTGCTGATCCGAAGCCAGGAGCCGGGAGCTTCTTCCAGGTCTCCCACGCAGGTGCAGGGGCCCAAGGACTTGGGCCATCTTCTACTGCTTTCCCAGGCCATAGTAGAGAGCTGGATTGGAAGAGGAGCAGTCAGATCTCGAATTGGCACCCATATGGGATGGTGGCCAGGGTGTTAACCCGCTGCGCAATGCGCCGGCTCTATTTTATTTCTTTGAAAGTTAGAACAACAGAAAGAGAGGGATAAACAGAGACAAAGAGATCTTCCATCTGTTGGTTCACTACCCAGATGGCCACAATGGTAGGACTGGGTCAGGCCAAAGCCAGGAGCCTGGAACTCCATCCTGGTCTCCCACATGGGTGCAGGGGTCCAAGTACTTTGGCTGTCTTCCACTGTTTTCCCAGGTGCATTACCAGGAAGTTGGATCAAAAGTGGAACAGCCAGGACTCAAATCTGTGCTCATATGGGATGCCGGCATCCTAGGCAGCACCTTAACCCACTGTGCCACAATGCATGCTCCTTGTGGTTTGGTTTTGTAATGTGGTCTATGAAGTTAACAGCATTGGTTTGTAGTGGTATTTGGTGGTATAATGATGCTAGAAACATTGTATGCTCTCTCTTCTCAGAGCCTTTATTCAGTCCTGTTACAGTCTGGAAATTACTTAATTGGGTGAAGCAATTTAGCTGCCTAAGCAGATTTAAACCAACACCCTAGGATGTAGTCCTGTCCTAGGTAACTCGGTCTTGTCTCATTCCATGCCTCTTCACGTGATTTGATGCTCTAGACTTTTTTTCCCTACATAAGCTCGGTTTATTCTAAGATTTTTTAAAATCTCTTTTTCTTCAGTAGTAATTAATATTTGTGTTTTGAGGGGCTGGTGTTATGGTATAGTGGATTAAGCCACCATCTGCACTGCCGGCATCCCATATGGGTGCCAGTTCAAGTCCTGGCTGCTCCACTTCCAATCCAACTCCCTGCTAATGTGCTTGGGAAAGCAGCGGGGGATGGCCCAGGTGCTTGAGTCCCTGCACCCACGTGGGAGACCCAGACTGAGTACCAGGCTTCTGGTATCAGCCTGGCCCAGCCCTGGCTGTCACAGCCCTTTGGGGAGTGAACCAGCAGATGGAAAATCTCTCAGTGTATATCCCGCCTCTCTCTGTAACTCTGCCTTTCAAATAAAATAAATCTTTTAAAAAATATATTTGTGTTTAGAAATTCTTTCACTGCAGTCTTTCCAGAGATAAATAATAGCCTCTTGTGGCCGGTGCCGCGGCTCACTAGGCTAATCCTCTGCCTTGCGGCGCCGGCACACTGGGTTCTAGTCCTGATCAGAGCACCAGATTCTGTCCCAGTTGCTCCTCTTCCAGTCCAGCTCTCTGCTGTGGCCCTGGAAGGCAGAGGAGGATGGCTCAAGTGCTTGGGCCCTGTGCCCGCATGGGAGACCAGGAGGAAGCTCCTGGCTCCTGGCTTTGGATCAACGCAGTGTGTCGGCTGCAGCGCACCAGTCGCAGTGGCCATTGGGTGCTAAACCAACAGAAAAGGAAGACCTTTCTCTCTGTCTCTCTCGCTGTCCACTCTGCCTGTCCAAAAAAAAAAAAAAAAAAGCCTCTTGTATTAATTTTAAATTCATTGCTACTAGTCTCTTTATATCTAAAATATTTTCTTCTATTCTGTTCCATAACACGTTTTCTGTCTGCCTATCCTATGTTTTTTAAAACACTGAACTTCCCTCTCGGCTTCTCAATAATTATCAATAATTCAGAAAGTTTTCTTGCTGTCTTATATTTCTGTTTTGCTCTCTTTTGTTTCTCTTGAGCCCTGATTGCATCACTAGACTCTTCTCTTTTTAATGTAAACTGTCAAAGCCTATTTCTTTCCCACTTCAATGTTGAGAAAGCTTCTATTTGGGAAACTGTACTTGGTCTTATATAATAAATGTTCTCTGTAATCAATATGCAGTCCATAAATACATACTGAGTGCCTTTGTGGAAGACTAAGAGTATACAATTGAATAATTCCCTGTATCAGAAGTTTACCTTCTATGGGGAAGATGGATTACGTGAGCCAACAAATGGGGTCATTTCAGTCCCTGGGGTCTAGGAGGGAATGGATGCAGCAATACAGTGGAAATGACAAGGCACAGGAGGAACAAGGTTCTCCTCCTTTCTCGACCATTCTTTTGCTTTTTAAACCTTGTGTTTTGTTTTCTTTTAACTTCTCACATTGCTTAGATAGCCAAGTGCCCATTTTTAAGAACTGATTATGTAATCTCATTGTATTGTCTTCTTCCTTATAATGTTATGCTTCCTGAGTCCTGAAAAATTTCTTTTGCCACAGTTTGCATCATGAAGGTCATTTTCAGTTATTCTTCAAACCAGACAACTTTCCTGCAGACTAAACCTTACCTTCTGACTATTTAAAGAACAGTGATTCTCAGGCATCTGTCAGAAGAGAATGTATGCTGGTGTGCGAGGTTGCCGACTGTTTCTCATAACTACAGGACTTTAACAGGAGAGTGTCTGACTTTAGGAAGTGATAGTGTGTAGGAAGACGTTGTATGTAATAATTTTGTTCAGCAAAATAAAATCAGTGGTCTCTTAGTGTGTCTGTGGAAGTCTTGCTCCTTTGGGTTTACTGTTTAGATCTGGAAGTCAGTACTCAGTGTTGCTTTTCTGTTTTCAGGGATGACTCTGTTCCAGAAGACAACATCTGGAGGGGCATCCTGTCTGTCGTTTTCTTCTTCCTTATCATCAGCGTGTTAGCTTTCCCCAATGGTAAGTGATGTGATGATGTGTTATCATGTTTTTCCAGTGCGCTCTCCCCTTTCTTGTTTCTGAGATGCAAATCATCTAGAAGAACATCTAGAAGGTAGAGGAACCTGAGGGGCAGGTGTTCAGCCTAGTGCTTCAGATGCTGAGGCCCAGGGTGGGTATTGTGGAGCAGTGGGTTAAGCTGCCCTTTGGGATGCCTACATCCTGTTAAAGAATGCTGATTTGAGTCCTGGCTCTTCTACTTCCTCTCTCGTTTCCTGGCAATGTGCCTGGGAGGCAACAGATGATGACTCTAAGGACTTGGGTCCTCACCACCCATGTGTGCAACCCAGGTTGGGTACCAGGCTTCCTGACTTTGGCCTGGTTCAACTGTGGCTGGTGTGAGCATTTGGGAAGTGAATCAGCAGATGGGAGATCTCTCTCTTCTCTGTTTCTCACTCTCTCTCTCACTCTTTATTTATATATTTATTTATTTTTAAAGATTTATTTTATTGATTTCAAAGACAGAGTTACAGAGAGAGCTAGAGACAGAGAGAGAGGTCTTCCATCTGCTGGTTCACTCCCCAGATGGCCGCAATGGCCAGAGCTGCACCAATCCGAAGCCAGGAGCCAGGAGCTTCTTCTGGGTCTCCCACATGGGTGCAGGGGCCTAAGGACTCGAGCCATCCTCTATTGCTTTTCCAGGCCATATCAGAAAGCTGGATGGGAAGAGGAACAGCCAGGACTAGAACCGGTGCCCATATGGGATGCCAGCACTTGAGGCCAGGGCTTTAACTCGCTGCACCACAGCACAGGCTCCACCTCTCTCACTCTCTCAAATAAATAAATCTTAAAATATAAAATAAAAAAAGATATCCAAGTCCTACATTAGAGTACCTGGGTTTAATTCCTAGCTCAGGCTCCTGTCTCCAGCTTCCTATTAAAGTAGATCCTGAGAAAGTAATGGTAATGGCCCAAACTTGGGCCCCTGCCACCCACGTGGGAGACCCAGATGGAGTCACAACCTAACACCAGCTATAGCAGGCATTTGGGGATTGAATCACAGATGGGAGCTTGTGTTCTCTCTCCCCCTTTCCCTCTCTCCCTCTCTCCCTCTCCCCCTCTCTCTCCCTCTCCCCCTCTCCCCCTTTCCCTCTCCCCCCTCTCTCCCTCTCCCCCTCTCCCCCTTTCCCTCTCCCTCTCTCTCCCTCTCTCCCTCTCTCTCCCTCTCTCTCCCTCTCCCTCCCTCTCCCCCTCTCCTTCTCCCCCTCTCCCTCTCTCCCCCTCTCGCCCTCTCCCCCTTTCCCTCTCCCCCTCTCTCTCCCTCTCCCCCTCTCCCCCTTTCCCTCTCCCCCCCTCTCTCCCTCTCTCTCCCTCTCCCTCCCTCTCCCCCTCTCTCTCCCTCTCCCCCTCTCCCTCTCTCCCCCTCTCGCCCTCTCCCCCTCTCGCCCTCTCCCCCTGTCCCCCTCTCCCCCTCTCGCCCTCTCCCCCTCTCCCCCTTTCCCTCTCTCCCCCTCTCGCCCTCTCCCCCTCTCCCCCTTTCCCTCTCCCCCCCTCTCTCCCTCTCTCTCCCTCTCTCTCCCTCTCCCTCCCTCTCCCTCCCTCTCCCCCTCTCCCTCCCTCTCTCTCCTCTCCCCCTCTCCCTCTCCCCTTCTCCCTCTCTCCCCCTCTCGCCCTCTCCCTCCCTCTCCCCCTCTCCCTCCCTCTCTCTCCTCTCCCCCTCTCCCTCTCCCCTTCTCCCTCTCTCCCCCTCTCGCCCTCTCCCTCCCTCTCCCCCTCTCCCTCCCTCTCTCTCCCTCTCCCCCTCTCCCTCTCCCCCTCTCTCCCTCTCTCTCCCTCTCCCCCCTCCCCCTCTCCCCCTCTCTCCCTCTCCCCCTCTCTCCCTGTCCCCCTCTCCCCCTCTCTCCCTCTCTCTCCCTCTCCCCCCTCCCCCTCTCCCCCTCTCTCCCTGTCCCCCTCTCCCCCTCTCCCTCTCTTCTTCTCTCCCTCTTTCCCTCTCTCCCTCTCTCCCTCTCTCTCCTTCTTTCTCTGTCTCCTTGCCTATCAAATAAATAAATACCCAGTTGTTTGTAAGAGTTTGAATGTTCTGCAGCGTCAGTGGCACTGTTCTGAAGGCTGACCACCCATCCTGCTTTGTAGCCCTGTGGCCCTTGGGAGGCTCTCCAGGAGTGCTTCCCCTTCTATTCCATGGAGAGAGCAGACAAGGACTGTCATAAGGGTTAACTAAGTTGATGCATATCAACTCTATATTAGTCTGTTTTCCAGGGCTATAATGAAATACTCAAGGCTGAGTACTTTATAAAGAAAACAGTTTTATTTTGCTTACAGTTCTGGAACCTGAATGTCCAAACAGTGTTTTGTGGGCTCTCCCAAGGGCCGCTGGGCTACATAACATCAGGGCAAATGACACTGTGGCAGGAGCACGTGCAAGACAGACAGATCCCCTCAAGAGACAAGAAGCCAGAGAGACTAAGGAGAGGCCAGTCTTGTTTCTTTTTAATTTTATTTAAAGATTTATTTTATTTATTTGAAAGCCAGAGTTTCAGAGAGAGGTGGAGACAGAGAGAGAGAGAGAGAGGTCTTCCATCCACTGGTTCACTCCCCAAATGGCTGCAATGGCTGGAGCTGAGCTGATCTGAAGCCAGGAGCTTCTTCTGGGTCTCCCACATGGGTGCAGGGGCCCAAGGAGTTGGGCCATCCTCCACTGCTTTCCCAGGTGCATTAGTAGGGAGCTGGATGAGAACTGGAGTAGTTGGGACTCTAACCGGCACCCATATGGGATGCCAGCGCTGCAGAGCAGGGCTTTAACCCTCTGCGCCCCAGGTCCAGGCCCCAGTCTTATTCCTTTACATTAATTCCTCCTGAGAGACAGCAGTGCTTCCTGTGACCTCTGTATAGTTCCCACCCCTTACATGTTCCGTCATCACAGCATCCCCATACCAAGGACCACACTACCAACACATGAACCCTTGGAAGACAAACCACGTGCACATCCTAGCGTGCTGTGAACAGTGATGAAATGGAAGCTCTCAGAATTAGCCGTTACTCTTTCTGTAGCTGTTTCTGTTATTATGAGCTGAGTCATAAAGTGCCCGGTTATTGCTGAGTTACTGCTCGCTTTTGCTGAGGGCTATAATGAATATTACTTAAATTATTTGTCCTCCCAAGTGACCTTTTATTACAGTTAACTTTGCTGATGATGCATTTGGGATATTTTCATCATCAGGGAAAAAATTAAACAATTATTACTGTGAATTTTACCCCCATTATGATTATACAGAGAGTGAGGCAAAGCTTTAAAAAAACGTTTGGGATTCTACCACACTTACGATTCCTCCCTCTCCTCTGAATTGTCCCTCATATAAAGTGCTTTATTTTTTCTCCCTTTCAGTACCTTTTCCATAGAATATTCTTTCTTTGTTCTCTGTAACCATTTCTAAATGCTTACTCTAGTATCCTGTTTCTTTTGTCTTAATGATATTGCAAAATGTTCCATTCTTTTTACAGGTTAAGCTGCATGGGCCCTACTCAGATTTTAAACATCACACTTTTTTTTTTTTAAGTCATTTTCTCCTGTTCTCTTGTGACAGGCTTTTTTTTTTTTTATATATATATTTCATTTATTTATTTGAAAGAGTTACACAGAGAGAGAGGGAGAGAGGTCTTCATCTGCTGGTTCACTCCCCAGTTGGCCACAGTGGCCGGAGCTGTACCGATCTGAAGCCAGGAGCCAGGAGCTTTTTCCGGATCTCCCACGTGGGTGCAGGGGCCCAAGGACTTGGGCCATCTTCTACTGCTTTCCCAGGCCATAGCAGAGAGCTGGATCAGAAGTGGAGCAGGCAGGACTTGAATTGGCACCCATATGGAACACTGGTACTGCAGGTGGTGGCTTTACCTGCTACACCACAGTCCTGGGAACATCACACTTTAAGATGTGTGTCTCCCATGGCCTCCTGTGCTGTTTAGTGGAGTCAGATGTGTAACATAAAAAGCTCAGCGTGAGTGGCATCAAATACTACCCCAGAAACATTCCATGGCCAGGCCTCCCTTCTTTCCAAGATGGTGGCAATGGAGTTTTATTTATTTAATTCTTTTAAGTAGTGCTGTGTTTATAAGAACATAGTGGTTTTTGCTATTAACATAATCCAGTAAAACCATGACTCTGATGGTTCTGGGAAGGCACAATGATTGAGGTGTTCAGGCAAGATGAACCTTGTGTGATAAAGTCATGGAATAAAGGAATACTGACCCTGCCACATAAATTCCCAACATCAAACAGCTTTCATGGGAGCCGGTGTTGGGCCCAGCAGTTAAGTTGCTGCTTAGGACACCCTGTCCCGCACTGGGCTACCTGAGTTTGATGCAGCTCTAGCTCTTGATTCCAGCTTCCTGCTGATGCACACCCTGGGAGGTGGTGGTGATGACTCAGGTAGTTGGGTAACTGTCACCCCCGTGGGAGACCTAGGTTAAGTTCCAGTTCTTGGCTTCGGCCCACTGGCCACTGGGGACATTTTGGGAGTGAATCAGCAGATGGGAATATACATAGGTTCTCTTAAATAATAATAATAATAATAATAAATTCTAAGCCAGATTTTTTGGCTATTTTCCATCACACAAACTCTTTAGATTTTTGCTTGGACATTATGTATCCCACTTTCTACAAGGATGCCTAAGAATACAGCTCACAATGGGAGGATGGTGCACTCCCTCACACCTCAGGTGTCAGCACACGGCAGATCACCTCCAGAGCCCCGGGGAGATTTTAGAGCTTGGGAAGTGAGTCGGTGACCATGCAGGTGGCAGTCCCTGTGTGCCAGCCTTCCCTCAGCCATTCTGCCTTCTGGACCCCTTACTTCTCAGTCATCAGTGGACACCACAACCATCACTGGTCCATCCCCTCTATTCCTACTTTCCTTTTCTTCCTCTGTCCCCTGTGCTATCTGTTTTTTCCTCCCCCTGTTAGTCAAGCAGACTGTGGAACCCGTACATGGTCAGGAAACAGATCAACCAAAGGCACCCAGTCT